TTTTTTTTTTTTTTTTGGTTGCAGCCATCATTGTTGTTTTGGTGGGCCTGGGCTAGATTTGAACCCACCACCTTAAGCAACAGGCGCCAAGCCGAGAAGCTCTTTATATTTTAAGATTAATCCTTTGTAATGTGAGGTTTCAAATATAATATAATCTCTATAGAGGACCCCCCCCTACATTGACCACCTCTTTAAGTTGACCTAACTTTCATAGACTAGACATGTACCACATGAAGCTATGAGTATAGTTGGTCTAGTTCCTTATGTTGACCACCTCCGTATGTTATCAGTTGTTATAGTCCCTTTCGTAGTCAACTTACAGAGGTTCTACTTCATTTTCCTTAGTTTGTTATTTGGCTTTTGATTTTGTTTTTGCTATGAACAAATTTTTATGTAACTAGGTTTATTAGTTATAGGTAATCATAATAGTTAGAAAGGTCTTCTAGGGGCAGAGGGGCAGCACCTGTGGCTCAAAGGAGTAGGGTGCTGGCCCCATATGCCTGTGGTGGCGGGTTCAAACCCAGCCCTGGCCAAAAAAAAAAAAAAGAAAAGGAAGGTCTTATAGGTCACAAAAATAACTATTATATCTATTTTTTCACCACTTTTGTTGTTTAATTTTTAAATTTAAATCTTTGATATAAATGGAATTTATTCTAGTGTATGGAGTAAAGTATGGTGCCTGCCACCTGTTTTCTAAATAGTGGGTACCTAGTTTTTTGACCAGTTTGAACTGTCTTTTTTTTTTGAGACAAGAGTCTCACTATGTTGCCCTCGGTAGAGTGCCATGATGTCACAGCTCATAGCAACCTCTTAACTCTTTGGCTATGCCCAGCTATTTTTTTTGTTGTTATTTAGTTGTCATTGTTGTTTAGCAAGCCTGGGCCTATTCAAACCCGCTGGCCCGATGTACCATGTTTCCCTGAAAATAAGATGATATTATTTTTTTCTCAAGAAGACACACTAGGCCTTATTTTCAGGGGATGTCTTATTTTTATTAAGTATAATACAACAATCTACATTTATTCAAATACAATTAAGTCATCTTCTTCTGGAACCTGACACGGGGAGCCAACCTTATTGGTGGGGCTGGCACTAGTGATGCATAAACTCCTTTCCCCTAGCCACTGGCACGTGCACGATAGGATGCCCGCCACCGTGGTTACCACATGCGCATCTGCGCAAGTGCGAAGGGCTCCTTGGAGAAAGGACCTGTGGCAGATAAAAGGTATTCCAGTCTTCCTTACCACTCTGCGCTGAAATGCATGGCATGGCTATGCAGATACACTGCTTAGCCGCTCCCATCACTAGGTCTTATTATGGGGTAGGGCTTATATTTAACAAATGCGTAGAAATCCTCCTAGGGCTTATTTTTGGGGTAGGTCTTATTTGGGGGGAAACATGGTATGCAGTTGGCACCCTAACCGCTTAACTGCAGGCACTAAGCCTAAGCTGTCATCTTTATCAGATACACATACATCCTAAATGTTTTAGAGTCTAATTCTGGACTTTTCATCCTATTCCCTTGTCTTTCTACCTACTGTATGCCAGTGCCAGGCATTTTTAATTATTGACGTTTTAAAATTTGTTTCAATATTGGATGAATCTAGTTACCTATTTTGCTTTTTTCCAGAATTTTTAGAGCTAATAGAATTTTTCCATGTGAACTTTAGAATTACCTATTTTAATTGCAGGAGAAAAAAGTCTGTGGCTGTTTTTATTCAAGTTTGTTTATGTTTTAATACATTAGTATAATAACATTTTATTTATTTATCTTTTGAAACAGAGTCTCACTTTGTCACCCCTGATAGAGAACCTTGGCATCATAGCTCACAGCAACCTCAAATTCTTGGGCTTAAGCAGTTCTCTTGCCTCAGCCTCCCAAGTAGTTGGGACTACAGGTACCTGCCACAATGCCCGGCTATTTTTAGAGATGGGGATCTTCTTGTAGCTCAGACTGGTCTGGAACTTGTGAGCTCAGGCAACCTACCTGCCTTGGCATCTCAACTGCTGGGATTACACGCATGAGCCACTGTACCTGGCCTAGTATAATAACATTTTAGAATGAATTTGTCTCTAAGAACATAGTTATGTCTTTCTATTTGTTCAGATCTTCATTTTTATCACTTAAGAGTGTTATAAAGTTACTTTTGTTTATTCATTTATTAAGTTTACTATTAAGAGTTTTCTTGGCTTGGTGCCTGTAGCCCAGTGAGTAGGGTGCCGGCCACATACACGAAGACTCGCAGATTCGAGCCCAGCCCAAGCCTGCTAAACAACAATGACAACTGCAACCAAAAAAATAGCCGGGTGTTGTGGCAGATGCCTGTAGTCCTAGCTACTTGAGAGGCTGAGGCAAAAGGAGTGCTTAAGTCCAAGAGTTTGTGTTTGCTGTGAGCTGTGACGGCACTCTACCAAAGGGGACATAGTGAAATTCTGTCTCAAAAAAAAAAAAAAAGTTCATTTTTCCTTTTGCTTTGCCAAACAGCTTAAGATTTTATTTCCCATGTAGATCTGCCTTTAGGGAAATAATGTCTTTTATTATGCAAAGAGCTCTCTAGTTTGAGTGTCAACTTAAATCTCAGCCAGATCCTAGATCCTAGAAAATTTACCCTCTGATGGAGAGGTCATAAGGCCTCTCCCCACAACACTACAGTCATGTGCGTGCCTTTATTTTAAAAAAATCCATAGTTAATAAATACTATTTTAATTGAGAGCCTTTAAGAAAGCTTCTTATAGACCGGGCACAATGGCTCATGTCTGGAATTCTAGTACTCTGGAAGGCTGAGGGCAGGTGGATTGCCTGAGCTCACGGGTTTGAGACCAGTCTAAGCCAGAGCGAGACCTTTTCTCTACAAATAGCCGGGTGCTGTGCCAGACATCTGTAGTCCAGCTAATCGGGAGACAGAGGCAGGAGAATTGCTAGAGCCTAAGAGTTCGAGGTTGCTGTGAGCTGTGATGCCACCAGTACTCCACTGAGGGCAACAAAGTAAGACTCTGTCTCAAAAAAAAGAAAAGAAAGCCTATTATGCATATAGTTATGTGTGATTGGCATCATTTCAGCTGTTACTGATGTTTCTACAACTGCTTAAGAGTTAAAGGGGTCAATCTATACAACAAAGATGTGCTTTGGAAAATTACTTTGTACAAATCTTTAGTAAAAGTTTTAAATTCTTAATTTATTACAGAATTTCACAAACTTGTTTGGACAGCCACTGGTCTGCTTGCTTTCTCCTACAGCATATCCAAAGGCTTTACAAGGTATGTACTATCATTATCTATTATACCCGTAGGTTGCAGATAAACACTATCTGCATTTCAATAATATTGATATTTGTTTATCCCTCTCATAATTGTCATATGTGGATTTATGGTATTTATATGGCAGGTGTCACTCTGAAATACCCAGAAACCTTGCCAACAACCAGACTTCCTCAGTGTGCTATCACTGGGCCTTCAAATAATTCATCCTTCAGAGGTGTTTTTTTCCCTTGCTGTTGGGGAAGACATGATTTGTAAATTTTAAAATTGTTTTACAGGTGTTTGATATGCTTGTCATATCTGTATAGCATGATTTCCTTCCTGTATATTTATTTGGTGACATATTTTAGGTATCTTTTAAGACTATAAATTGCTAATCTAGGAAACTTCTCAGCCTATGCCTGCAAGTTAGGATAACCTAACTAAAACAATTTAAAGAATTTCTTTTATTTACATTTTTACCTTGCTGTATTCATTAAATGAAAGACCCTCTTCTAAGGCTTCCAGAGAGAGAGGTTAGTGTTTTGACCATTTCTCTAATAGCTGAGAATTGAAAGACTTTTTGTCCATAACAATTTATCCTTAATTAGTAACACATAAAATCTAATTCTAACTCCCAGTCCTATTTTAGTAGGTAAAATACTAAACAATCCTTAACCCTGTTTTAGCAGTACTTGTCACTGTTTCACTATCTCCCTGACTGTGAATAGTGCTGATGTGTCTCTGTGGGAGATGGCATTTTACTGCTACTTCCCAACCGGGAGTCCTGTCTGCTGACATAGTTTGACACAGGAAGTGATGGTCAGCATTTGAATGCCTGAGAGAAGCTGGAGACTTTCACCGTTGTTTTAAGGTAAGTTCTACTGTTCAACAGGGAAATATATGTAGAAATATTAGGTTCATGTATTCAAAAGTCAAATTACTAAAAGATAGAACTTACCTTCAAACAACGGTAAAATTCTCCTGCTTTGAGGATTTTGTTTTCTTGTTTCTTAGCATTTCTGCAAGAATGTAATCCTATCCAATTACTTGAGTACTTTTTGCTATCAATCTGTCCTATTGTGATGAAGTTTTATTTAAAATTGCATGATCACATGAATTTTATTTATTTGGTCTAAAAGACTTATTGTATAAAGAAGAAAAACAGAGACTTGAGAGGCAAACTAACTGAATTTGAATTACGATTTGGCCTCTTACTAGGGAAGTTACTCAGCCATTTGGTGCCTCAGTTTCTTCATCTATCAAATGGAAATAATAATAACACCTACCTCATAGAGTAATGCTGGGTACATAATAAGTACTCAATATGTGCTTTCATTATACCTGTATGCTTAGTTGTAGTACGTCTTTAACCTTCTTTGGTCCAGTATCCTATCTTTGTGCTATAAAGCTTAGGCCTCTAACACATTAAATGCATTGTTCAATTACATAAGCAGATTCAAAATTCTTTTGTGAGAAACATTTTGGGTTTAGGCATTTTTGCTACTTACCTCTGCATAAGGGGTTGGCCCTCCACATGGGTGTAAAACTAGCAGATCTGTAAGTAACTGGAATGTCACAGAAGGTTCCTGCACTTTTGGAATCTAAACCCTACGGTTCTCTCATTAGCCAAGACTCAGCTCATTCGTTCAGCAAAGATTTATTTGACATTTGTCAGGTACTGTGCTAGGCACTGGAAATAGTACTCTGACCTGAAAAACAGTTGTGTTTCTCTCAGAGCCAAATGTCAAATAGGTTTATAGGTAAACAGTTACAGGCAGTTACTGTAAGTATTTCACAGGAGGGTACACAGGAACATCTGGGGAACTAACCAGCATATGAGGGCGATGGAAGGAGAAGAGGTGATGCCTGAAGTGCATTTTTAGAACATGTAGAATTAAGTGGGGATGGGGAAATGGACTGAGCTGTAGTGTCCTGCAGAGAGTTTGCATGTGCTGTGGCCCTGAGATAAAAGCTTTTGAAACAAATTAAAGTAGTTCCTTCTAGGTTAAAGGCTAAGTTTGGAATTGTGTGTCTGAGTTATGAAAAAGCTTTTAAGATTTGTTGAGCAATTTAAGTGGAGGACGATGGCGTATGGGATCAACATCCTTAATCAAAAAATTCAAAATCTGAAATCCTTCAGAGTGTGAAACTTTTTCCGTGCTAATATGCTGCTAAAAGTGAAAATTCCACACATAATTATTTAGTACAAACTTTGTTTTATGCACAAAATATTGTATAAAATTACTTCGAGGCAATACAGATAAGGTATATATGAAACAGAAATAAATTTCATGTTTAGACTTGGGACCCATTCCCAAGATATCTCATTATGATTTGCAAATATTCCAAAATTCAGAATCTAACATACTCTAGTTCCAAGCACTTTACATAAGGGATACTTAACTTGTACCATCAAAAGATTTTAAACAGAAGAGTGCATGGAAGAGCATTCAGTTAATCTCTTGGAGAACAAGTTGGGGTAGGACATGGATGGAAATAGGTGGTAATGGCTAGAGCTAGGACAGTAACTGGCTTCAAAAGATACTAAGCTGGCTCGGCGCCTGTGGCTCAAGCCGCTAAGGCGCCAGCCACATACACCTAAGGTGGCGGGTTCGAATCCCCAGCCCGGGCCCGCCAAACAACAATAATGGCTGCAACCAAAAAATGGCCAGGCGTTGTGGCGGGCGCCTGTAGTCCCAGCTACTTGGAAGGCTGAGGCAGGAGACTCGCTTGAGCCCAGGAGTTGGAGGTTGCTGTGAGCATGATGCCATGGCACTCTACCCAGGGGGATAGCTTGAGGCTCCGTCTCAAAAAAAAAAAAAAAAAAAAAAAGATACTAAGCTAATAGAACCATTAGGACATGGCGATGGACTGATGGGGTGCAGGAAGGAAGGCAGCAATAGACTTCCAGGTTTCTGGCTAGAATAGCTACTTGATGAGACACATATTTGTAGAGAACAAAAAGGGAAAGAATTTAAGTTGTTGACTTGTTGAGTTTGAGGTGTCTTTCAGAGTTAGATTAAATATAGTAGTCTAGACCAATGCTGTCCAATAAAAATATAGTATGGGTCACATGTCTCATTTTTAATTTTCTAGTACCCAAATTTAAAGTAAAAAGCAGGGAATGAGAGAGGAAAAGAAAAGAAGAAGGTAAAAAGAAACAAATGCAAGTAATGTGTATAATTTATCTTCTTGTACCAAGGTTTTGAAATCCAGTGCGTATTTTACACTCACACTTTAAGTGTGCAGTACCAACTGCAGTAGGCCTAAGGAATTCAATCTAGACTGCAGAGGGAGAATTAGGAATCGGTAGGCATATAAATAGTAGCTAAAATCATGGGAGTAGGAGAGATCAGCAATGTGGAGGGCCAAAGAAAGAAAACACATATGTAAGTGTTAAGCAGAAAAAGAACAGCTAACAAAGGAGAATGAAAAATATTGGCAATTCTAGTACATATCAGAGAATTCCCTCATCAATAGTCTGTGACCCAACACTTGCTACATTGGATGAAATTTGTCCATTTGTGGTAAAAACTGTAAGGAATATGTTCATTTTCCCTTTCTAGTTTCTAGTTTACTAGGCTCTCTTAAGTTTGTTCATCAGAAAGCAACATACCTAGTGCTTTTTTTTTTTTATTTTTTGGTAGCTTCATGTACAGTCTGCATTGTTGAATTATGACTTTTAATGATATAGCTTTAATTTTATATATTATCAGTATATTAAAATGTTCCTCATATGTATCCCTTACCTTTTGCAAAACTATTGTCTCTCTCTCTCTCTCTCTATATATATATATAAATGATGTTTGTTATTACAGATCAATCTCAACGAGGTAGCCTCTTCACTCTCTTTTTGAACAATCCTCTAATGGCCTTCCTATTTGTCTCTGGATTGTCAAGCATGCGTAGAGGCCTATGGGAAAAATGTCAAGAATATCTTCGAAAAATCAACCGTGATATTGCCCAGCTACTGACCCATTCGCGTTCAATAGGTACCCTCCTAATCTAACTGTACACTGCACAATGTACTATAGTGGCTTAAAATGGTTACATATCTTAAATTGTGTGAATTTTTAAAGGTATTTGTCCCAGGCAGGAAAGTTGAGAAGACTTTCCTGAAATTTCCTTCCCTTTGAAGTGTAATCTCCATTTAAGCATCCTTTTACTGTCACCTTTCTCCTCTTTGCAGATCAGGCATTTCTCCAGTTTTTTGGAGATGAATTTCTTCGCTTGCTTCTCACAAGATTTATCTTTTGTTCAGCCACTATGAGGATGCACAAGATTTTTCGGGTAGGTAAAGAGTATTATTATTTGTTTATTTATTGCTTTTTGGAGACAGGGTCTCGCTCTGTCATGCAGGCTAGAGTGCAGTGGCATGATTATAGCTCACTGTAACCTTGAACTCTTGGGCTCAAGCTATCCTCCTTTCTTAGCCTCCCAAAGTGCTGGTATTATAGGCATGAGCCACTGTGCCTGGCCAGGAACATTATTGAAGGCCAATTTTATCCTTTTATGTATTTAAAAATCATGAATTATATTTACTTATATTAAATAAAGTTTAAATAAATCTAAAATAATGTTTACAAATGAACATGTGATGGAAATAGCCCAAGTACCCATTGACCCATGAATGGATTAACAAATTGTGGTATATGTACACCATGGAATACTATGCAGCCATAAAAAGATGGAGTCTTCACATCTTTTATATTTACCTGGATGGAGTTGGAACATATTTTTCTTAGTAAAGTATCTCAAGAATGGAAAAAAAAGTATCCAATGTACTCAATACTACTATGAAATCAATATATAACCACCTACATACTCATACAAATGGCAAAACATAACTATAGGCCAGAAAGTAGAAGGGAAGAGGAGTGAGAGAGGAGGGGGGATATGGGAGGAGGGAGGCTATTTGGGGGACCTCACCTAATGTGCATGATGCAGTGGTACATTTTAAAACTATTAAGAAATGAGTATAATTGTGATGGATGTGTTACTTAGTTCAATGTAAACATTTCACATCGTTTATTGAAGCAGTACCCTGGACCCCATAAATGTATCAATGTACAAATTTATGATTTAATAAAAAATAATTTTAAAAAGAATAAAAAATAAAATAAAATCATACACAAAAGAATATGTGAAGTATTAGACACATATGAGTATCTAGTACCCTATTTAAGAAGTAGGATGTTGGCTCGGCGCCTATAGCTCAACCGGCTAAGGCGCCAGCCACGTACACCTAAGGTGGCGGGTTCGAATCCCCAGCCCGGACCCGCCAAAAACAACAATGACGGCTGCAACCAAAAAAATAGCCAGGCGTTGTGGCGGGCGCCTGTGGTCCCAGCTACTTGGGAGGCGGAGGCAGGAGACTGGCTTGAGCCCAGGGGTTGGGGGTTGCTGTGAGCTTTATTGCCATGGCACTCTACCCAGGGGGACAGCTTGAGGCTCTGTCTCAAAAAAAAAAAAAAAAGAAGTAGGATGTTTTTGCAGTGGCCCACACCTGAGCTCACTGGTTTGAGACCAGCCTGAGCCAAAGTGAGACCCCCACCTCTAAAAATAGCCAGGCACTATGGCAGGCGCCTTTTGTCCCAGCTACTTGGGAATCCGAGATAAGAGAATCGCTTGAGCCCAAGAGTTAAGGTTGCTGTGAGCTGTGATAAGGGCAACAAAGTAAGACTCTATCTCAAAAAAAATAAAAAGAAGAAGTAGGATTTATTTATTTATTTTAGAGACAGAGTCTTACTTTATTGCTCTTGGTAGAGTACTATGATGTCACAGCTCACAGCAACCTCTAGCTCCTGGGCTTAGGCGATTCTCTTGCCTCAGCCTCCTGAGTAGCTGGGACTATAGGCGCCCACCACAACTCCTGGCTATTTTTTGTTGCAGTTTGGCTGGGGCCAGGTTCACACCTGCCACCCTCGGTATATGGGGCCAGCGCCCTGCCTATTGAGCCATAGGGACCGCCCAAGAAGTAGGATATTTTCATTACCTTTAAGGCATTCTGTATATCCTCTCTGATCCTATCTCCCTCTCAAATGAAACTGACATTCTAAATTTTTTTTTTTTTTGAGACAAAGTCTCACTACTCGGTAGAGTGCTATGGTATCAGAGCCCACAGCAATCTCAAACTCTTGGGCTTAAGTGATTCTCTTGCCTCAGCCTCCCTCCCAAGTAGCTCAGCCTACAGGTGCCCACCACAACGCCCAGGTATTTCTTGGTTACACTTGACATTGTTGTTTAGCAGGCCTAGGCTGGACTCAAACCCACCAGCTTTGGTGTATACTCAGTGAGCACCCTACTCACTGAGCTATGGGCACCAAGCCGTCTAAATTTTTTTTTTTGAGACAAGAGTCTCACTTTGTCACCCTTGGTAGAATGCTATGGAGTCAACATTCACAGCAACCTCAAACTCTTGGGCTCAAGCAATTCTCTTGTGTTAGCCTCCGGAGTAACTGGGACTATAGGCACCCGCCACAACACCCAGCTATGTTTAGAGATGAAGTCTTGCTCTGGTTCAGGCTGGTCCTGAACCCATGATCTCAGGCTATCCACCAACATTGGCCTCCCAGAGTGCTAGGATTACAGGTGTAAGTCATCACACCTGACCATACCTGAACATTTTTAAAAGTCTATTTTGTGGCTCAGCGCCTGTGGCTCAGGTGGCTAAGGCGCCAGCCACATACACCTAAGGTG